ATTGTATTCACAACCCTGAAAAACATGTATGTTGAACAGGTAGACAATAAATTAAAAAAAAAAAAATAATGAACAGTTTAAACATGAACTTTTGGTCAATATATTGTTTTCTAAAATATATTTGCATAGTAATGTGTTGTTGTGAGTTGGTGTGTGTTTTAAAGACTCGACATATTATGTCAATTTTAACAGTACCAAATCCAGTTCTCAGAAAAAGGATGTGCTAGACTGTGGTACCCTTTTCAGGCTTCATATTGTGGTTTCGATTTTTATTTCTAGAGAGATAAATTTAGAATAATGCGATTTATGTAAATATTAACTGGAAATATAGCATACCAGTTGTTGATAACTAAAGGTTTTTCATTAATTTTTAAGTGTTTCAATCCAAGAAGTATATTGTTGCTGCGATGGTGTAACGACTAGCGCATATGTTTGTTATTTCTAAGGATTTTGATTCAAAAGTAATTGAAATAACGAATTTTTAAGGGAGAAAATCCTTCATACTCTTTCTGCGGAGGGAAAGTAAAGCCGGATGTCCCATGTAGGTTTCCTGCACGTAAAAAATCCTCAAGCCTAAAAAGAAGCCTCTGAGCCAAATTGAAATCGCCTGTTTCGACGCCCGAGTGATACCTTCTTTCTCTACTAGATGTTAAGAGGCATGCGCGTAGCAAAAATAACGTAATTAGGCGGAAGGAAAGGCCTGATGGTCTGAGCCTTGCCACGTAAAATCAGGTATGACTGATTATTTGATTTTTATTACTTCTATTTTACACTATTTTATCGCTCTCTTTGGCTGGATACCCACGATGTTTTTTTAAAAAATTCTGTTGTATATGTCTTTCCTCAAAACAAAAGAAATCAATATTTAATGAATAACAATGATTATTACCGAGAGAATTCACGGATTTATTTCACCAATGTACGAGATTTCTCGTTCTATTTAGAAGAATGAAGTAAACGAAAGCAAATTTGAAGATTCTTATTTTTATGTATCTGGACTTAACAAACATCTTACTGTGAAACGTGTAAGATTTTGTCCCACGAAATAATGGTGACGAAGCTTAGAAGTAGCACCATGTTTGTGAGTATTTAAGTTAAAGAGATTCATGAACTCGGAAAAGAAGCATTTTAAGAATCTTGGGTGGATTAAACACATTTTAGTTTAAAAGAAAGGACATTGTTGAATATTAACATAATCCACGTAATCTCATATTCGAGTATTAATCGTAATTCTAAGAAACGTAACTGCAAGCATAAAGAAACGCTTAGCAACACCACAATCTCCAAATTTATCAAAAAGTTTCATTTATGAGGAACTAGAACATTATGAAGTAGTCTATCCACAAACCGCAGACTTAGTAAACTTTAAAAGTATACAATGACACTGAAAATTTCAAAGAGCCTTTTCACAGTGAAAAAGAACAACAAACAACAACTCTGGTTCATGTTGATGCCTCACGTATGCACCTTGTAGAAGCTAGATCCCACAGCAAGTGCAAGGGACAAGCGTCATAATTGCTGGCTGTAAAAACGGGCCGTAAACACTTTGCATATATGGAGTTGCAATCGAGCGGCCGAGACGCGCAACCGCGAAAATGTACAAATACCTATTACGAGCCTATAAATATCGTTTACGGGCGGTCGTCAACACAACCTGCCCGAGGAGTTGCCACACGCGTCGCACAGCGTGGAAGCGCGGTGGGGCAGGGCCGCTGGAGTTCCTGTGTTCTCCTGGCCCGTTTAACGACGCTCGTCCCCTGGTACTGCCCCGCAGGCCTCCGCCGCGATCAGCTTAATGTTCTTCTATTCTCGATCGCTCTGTTCCCGACCCCCTTTCTAATTGCATGTACACAGGCGGGGTACTCACTGTTCTTTAAATAATTTCAAACCACTGGTGAAGGATATTTTTAGTATCATTTAAGAGCGAACACACAACCTGTGCCGGTGTATTTATAATTATGTGTGTGTGTGGTGTCTGTACTAATTTATGGACATAGTAAACGAGGGGGCTTCGATTCCTCATGACGCCCTCTTACATGGTGAGGTGATCTCAGTGATGGTCGGCCCTTGCCTTCCACTGCATCATTGATTGATTAGTAAGTCCGGGCGCGTCAACTGATAAGGTCATTAGTCCCATAAGTGAAGTGCACGTGTTTTCCTCGCGAGGTGACGGCGATGTTCTCCCGCTTAATGGTCGGCGCCGATCTATCGTAGGCTAACGGGGTTTCCCCGCAACCAGGTATCTCCCACCAGCCGAGGCGAGCAGTAAGCTTCTATCACATCTCCCGGCATGTGTGTTAGTGTAGTACATGTATGTGAAAGCGTGTATAAGTAAAGGGAAAGGGTAAAACAAGGAAGAGGATGGAAAAAATCGCCCACTGTCCATGGCCCGATTGTTATGGTACTATTCCGGCATTCTTTTGAGATTGGTCAAAGAAACTTCGTAAAATACTGATCAGAGCAACTGGCCACTAGAATCGTCCTACAGACAACGAGTGAATTCGGAAAGCTAACTAGCTAGTGTCGAAAATCCTGCCACCTTCGGGACTTGAGCTTACGACCTCCCAGTCAGAGGAACAGCAGTGTACTCATTTGATGCTCTGAGCCACCTCTCCTGGTCTGTTCCACTGCATGAAGGATAGGATGATCATAAGGGGTGATGAGTTCATATGAATGATGTGTTGAATGATGTACAGATGGTATTGGTAGAAATGTGTAATAAGCTTCAACCACGTTGTACGTACACCTAACCGCAGTACTCGAACCCATTGCCTAATTCCATTTCGGATTTAGAATCGGCTGCCAGCAAGGACGCCACCAACCTGGCTATGGCGTTGTGTATAATCTAAAATTAAGGAGGTGTCAGCAGCGCATTTGAGTTCTACAGCGAGGGACAGGTCATAATTTTGAAAACCAGTCACCAATTGCAACAATAGGAAACCGCATTGCGTTTTTAACAAACGCAATATATTACAGCCGGTGGCTAATACTTTAACAGGAAAAACGGAATCGTTCAAATTTCAAACTAAACCGACAAAATAATCGGCATTCAAATTACAAAGTCCTCGGCGAACTCCACACTTTCATTTAATTGCAATCGTGGCGCTTCTGCGCGGACAAAAATAATAACTGTGGTTTCGCCCAACGATTCCATTGCGGTCACAGCGACTGTACAAACAGCGCCGAGGGTCAATACTCGAAATATTCAATGCAAACCAAATGAATGCACTCTATTGAGTTTCACTGCACTGTCGTCAAAAGCTTTGTTTAATGCACTGAATTGCTCTTAATATATCGACACTGATTATAACATTTTCGACGACAAAACAAGCGTGTATTCACCACCTATTGGACTTTTTTTTCTTTTCTCTCTACATTTCAGGGCTACTACCCCTTATGTCTCTCGATGCACCGTTTTAGCAACAGCTATTTACTTCCGAACAATCATGTGAAAGTTTGAAGTGTGGCAACGAAGAGACTGAAATAAGTTTCTGGAAAGAAATGAATGTATCATCAAACCGTGAAAATCAATTTTGTTTATAGAAAATAAGCAAATATTATTTACAGTTATACTTTGAGTAATTTGAACTCAATGTAAATTTTGTCAGCAATTAAAGTTATGTTTTAATCCTAGTTAACATTGTAACCAAAATTTCATTTTAATTGCGATAAGTAGACGAGAATACAACATTCTTTCGGCGAAGACTGATGACAACCAGCTCTATTAACATGTTTATTTAATGGGCCGCTGTCTCCCGCCACTCGCCACCTATTCGCGAGGTTGACGATGACAGCTAAAAAGCCACAAGCTGGTTCTAACTAATAAATTCATGTTGAAAAAACGTTCTTTATTTCATTTTTATTTATGTAAACATCACATGTCAGAAGTAATAATTTGAAATATTGTTTTCATGTTCAAATTACATTTCCTAATATGGATTCCATTGTCAGTAAAAGAGCCTTTTAAACAATGAATAAGTGCAAACAATGGTGGTATTTATTTCAAAACGTAGTAAAAATGAAATGTTACTGTATCAATCCATGCAGAAACTATTTGATCGAAAGTCAATTTCTAGTTTAAACACATCTTAAGAAATTAAAACAAGATAAAATGAAGTTTTTTCACGGCTGTACACCCAATCATAACACCCACTACATGAACAGTAAACAAAGCAACGTGCACAGAATATTCGGAATTAACGACATAACTTCATGTGAGGACTGTGCTTTACACATCTTAATATAATTAATCATGCCAAAATAGTCCAATACTAATTACAAGATCCTACAATTTGAGTTTTTCTCACAGCAGAATTAATTAAATATTATGACTGAAAAACGAAAACTAGATAGAGATTTTTAATTATAACGTAAAGGACGTCTCATGAATTAATTCTGAGTTGAAAAGAGCGATAAATGATATAATGAAATTTCTTATTTCAGAAAACCGTTAAAAATGATTACATAATTAAATGTCAAAGAATTTGCTAATCTTACAAAGTTTAACGCAATAATTTTATTTTAAAAATTGAAAGTCGAAATCATCGTCACTAAATTCCTTTAGAACTTACTTTCATGACTCATAGCTATACAATGTTGAAACAGAAACAGTCAGAAAGTTTCTGAATTGAAATAAAATAGTTTGGAAGAGAAAAAATATATTTCATTTACATGATTTTACCAAAAATAAATCTGTGCGATCTAATTAAGGAACTGAACGATAACATCCCAAATGGCAACACTATTACCTGTAAATCAGAGGGGAAATTTGATGTTAAGAATTTGTTTGAAAATGTGAAAGAGTCCCCTAAGTATTTATGCCCCGACAGTCTGAACGTAATTGATTATATAATAAGCGAATATAGGTACCGAATACACATATATTATATTATGATATTGGAAATATTTTAGTCAATATAACATAATCGATAAAAAATATACCACTCAAAGTGAAATTTATGAATAATTTATTTTGTCTGTGACCCTTTTCAAGCTTTCACTATTATTTGATTGAATATATCTTGTAGTATAGTTCGAGGTAATTTCAATTCCTAACTTGCTAAACCTGTATAAGAGATCACGATGGAGCATGTCACACTCATGATAAATAAAAACGAATAATATTGAATGATAATATTGATAAAATTAGTCTTAATGTAAGATCAATTAACAAATCAAGTTCATAGAGTATTTGTGATAGCTAAGGGGATGTTGGAGAAACGGTGCATGATAATCATATAAATATTAATCGAGATACTCATCAATTTATTCTTATGAGAATCAAAATGAAGTACCTTTAAGTTTTCGGTCAAAGGTACCCTATGAGTCGGTATTTTCAAGGGGACCAATGACGATCAAGGTGATTGATTTGGGAGTCCCCACAAATCCCTCAGCTGAGTTTGCATCGGAGACTGATCGATAAAGTAAGATCAAGATGCCGTTCATTTGCAAAATATATTAATGTAGTTGATAACTATTTGTTTTTTTGATAGTTATTATTGGTCACTATTAAATGTTTAATCTATTAATAACTCACAAATTTACTCATCTTTTGAATTTCAATTCATTCACACGAATGAAAATCGAACATTTGCGCAATTATAATCAGTCACTTTGTTACTGTAAACTTGTTTATACTTTCGAAATTAGAAGTAATTTAAGTAGAAACAGTAATAAAACAAATCTAATAAAATATTTTTTCAAAACTTTTGTTTGTATTCTTCGTGAAATTATTATTTTCAATTCGTTTATGTGCCATCATTTCTGTTAAGATTATGTTAAACGCTGTCTATTATAAAAAACAAAAGATACAACTAAGCAAACATACAATGCACTAATTTGTTGCTAAGTGTGCTCCACAATTACTATAAAATTAATTTTCCTCTTTGATCAGCAATGAATTAGAAACCGATAATTTTCAAATCACTATTGGATGATATCTTCACACAAAGTGTAAAGGATCGCATCTCTAAAATCTACATAGTACAACTATTTCTAGTTACAACAAACAGCTACAAAAACATAGTGACTTTTGACATGCAGTTGATCTTTTTGAGGATCAGGTGGTGACAGAAGCGAGTTTGACACCACGTGTATATCAAATGTAATCAAAGAAAAAAATGAAATGTTTATTATGCCACGTTTTGCACGTGGCAAAATTAAGAACATATTTATACTAATGTACTAATTTTACACTTCCTTTGTTTCACACCATAGCAGTGAAGAACTTAATTTAAATAGTAATTGTAAACAAGGCTTATCGTATGTTTTTGACAAAAATTCGAATGTTTATAATGTAATTGCCGAATGTTTCAGAACTTGATTTGCACGCTCTTCAGAGCTTTTGCAATTTTGTGTTGTACGCAACTAAAAATATCTATAACATTGAGGTAATGATGTGTTTAATATGCATTTCTTAATTGCATCTAAGATGCAATTATGAAAATTCCAAAGACGGTTTAAAGCAAGAACTGAAATATTGGAAATTACCAAAATATTAATAAAGATTTTTGCCGTAACGTAAGATTGTTGTTATTATCTGCAATTTTTAAAAATTGGCAGACATTTGTAAAAATGAATACTGCATTATAAAGCCAGTGTTGTGTAGCGAGGGTTGCAGAGGTCATTCGCGTCGCGTCTGGGGATATGACATCGATGTCCATGTTTTGAAAACATCTATGCTTTATATAAAAATATCGATGTTTTAAACATCGATGTAATGAAGCCGATGGTTTTTAAACATAATTGTTTTTTCGTTTTCGATGTTTTCTTGGTGGATGAAAACTTCCCATAACCACAATTATGAAAAAGTTAAAATACGAAATAATAACTAATGGCACCACTGTCTTACGTGTTTGAATCAAACGAACCTACCTTTTTGTAGTACCATCATCGAGCACACTATTCCACGCCCGAGACGATACTGCTGCCGTAGTGTTTACTTTGTATTTCGCTCATAGA